AGGTAGAGAGGAGGACAGATAAGGGGAGGAGAGACAAATGAAGGAGAGGGAGACAAAGAGAGAAAGGTAACAAAGAAAGATGGGTGTGTGTGTGGGGGTGCTTTATGCCCTGCCTAAGTCCCACCCCATGGAGGCTGGGGGAGGGGGGGAGTAGAAATGGTTTCCACGGTGACAGCTGGTTCTTGGTGGCCTGGCATGTGGGCTATTAATAGTGCTGTGGGTAGGTTCACACCTCCCTCTCCCCTTCCCCTTTGCCTGCTGCTAGGGTGGGGGGAGATACCCCCCCCTCCGCCCCCACCAACTCCCAATGATCTGGCATTGATGCACTGACTCCACACCATGGGAGCCAAGAAGGGTGATGCTCAAGGGCCCAGGTGGCCACTGTAGCCCAAACATATACAAGGGCATGCACAGGCAAACACAGGCATCTGTGTGCAGACACTGCCGCCTGTGCCAGCGTGGGCTCCCATGGGCAGCCACAAGCACCAACAGCCCCTGGGAGTCTGGTGATGGTGGAGGCTGCAGAAGCAACACAGACCCCCACATTGAGGGGCAGATGCCTCTCAGGGCTGGGACCTCTTTCTCCTTTCCCAGATCCCCCCTGTTCTATTCTTGGGTACGGACTGAGAGGGACTGCCCCACCCAACTCACTATTATCCTGGTGCCAGGAAAGAGAGGAGTGAAGGCGGAAAGGAAGGTACTACTTGGCAGGTGTGAGATGGCAGAGGAGTACACAGACACAGGCACCAGCTTGGTAAGGAGGAGGGAGGGGAGGAGGAAGGAAGGACGGGCAAGGAGGCAGCACTCCTTGGTGCGCTCTTACTGGGCACCCATGAGATGGGCTTCTGGAGCTTAAGGGCAGTGACCCTTAAGTCTGAACTAGCCACTGTGGGACCTTGGAGGCTAGAGAATGGGAGATGGGGGTGGGGGATATGACATAAGGGGGAGATTGGATCAACAAAGAATCCTCTCCCCCAAAAGAATAGAACAGGAAGCTCCCCCCTGTAGGTCAGAAACAGAAGGACATAAACAGCAGCCTTGACTTGGGCCAGATGCCCAGTATTAACATCAAAGACTGTGCTTCCCCCCAACATAACCTCACCCACCTGCTGCTCTCCTCTCCCTGCTCTCAACCCAGGCCAGCTCCAGTCAGGCATCAAGGTGGGTGCCCAGGTCTAGAGGTCACCTCCATCCCCTATGCCCGGCCCCTTCCCTGCCAACCCACAGAGCTTCATGTCTCCCCTACCCCAATTCCCCTCAGGAATGTAGGTGGTAGATCCAAGCAGCCAAGAGGGCAGAGCTAGGAGCACCCCCAAGCTGGGCACGGCACATTCTCCCCACCCTCCCCCCAGCAGTCAGGGGTAATTGGAGCTGGGCGCTGGGGCAGCTGAAGGCTGGAGGCATGAATGTCACAGGGCTCAAGGCCCTCGCTGCAGATGGTATCATGGGCACAGGGCTTGGGGTCCTCCCTTCCCCACTCCCCTCTTCCAAGGAGAAAGAAGCAGGCCACAGAGAGGAGTTGTTCCCAAGCCCTGGGGAGCACTACCCAGGAGGGAAAGGAAAGCCAGGGATGTTCTCCCAGGCACCCCAGGGAAGGTGGAAGCTAGCCCCCACCCAAGCAGAATGGGAGAGAGGGAGAGAGAGAGAGAGAG